CTTTTTTTTTTTTTTTTTTTTCTTGTCTTGTGAGACTGAACACAGAGGCTTGTGCTGAGCAGTTAGTGCTTTTTTTTTTTTTTTTTTTTTTTTTGAGACTTCCCTCTGCTTTTGGTTCCTGTGTATTTACTGTGCCTCCTGCAGGGACAGGGATGTGACGGGGCGTTTGGAGGATGAGTTTTACCCATTTTGCTGGAGATGGAGGGGGACACGAGCAGGGCCCTTCCAGGAAACCCGGGGGGGGGCTGTGTGGGGCTGCGGAGCGGGCACAGGATGCTCACAGGCACAAACTGGGGACACCTGTGTCTGTTCGTTTTGAGTGGGGATTTGCAAAAGTGAAAAATTAAAGAATAAACGATTTTTGCTTGAACGACTGCCAACTGGTTTGGTTGCTTTTTGGTTTTTTTTCCCCTCTTTTTTCCCAATCAGATCTCAGCTAACTTTGTCCTGCAGAAAAGGCAGCAGAGTTCCCCTGCTCACGCAGCCCCTATTTACCCGATAATAATTCTATATTTTAACTCCTTCGATTAATTTTGCTCTCTCCTTGCTTTGCAAAGCACCCCCAATCTCCAAGCTGCGATGGGCGAAATTTGGACCATTTGGGGTTTATTTTATGAGGCTGCCTTTACGGGGGGCACCTGAGCGTTGCCGCCCGGTTTTACCGGGTCCCCGGGATGTTCCTGCCCCGTGTCCCATCCAGGGTTGTCCCCCGGGAGCCAGCACCGGCGGGTCCCCCTCCGCCAGCATCCCTCCCCCGCCCGGCTCAGCTCCCTGCGGAGGGCAACGCGGAGAAGGAGGCAAATGGCCAGCGCCGGTTCCTCGCCCCTTGCGGCATCCCCGAGTTGTGGGGGGGGGTGTCCCGAAGTCTCCCTCCCCTGCGCGGCCGCGCAGCCCCCATTGGGGAAAGTCCCGCGGCCGCGGAGCGCCTCCCGCCCCCAGCTTGGGTTTCCCTAAAGGCGAACTGGGGCTAAATAATGAATCGATCTAAAATTAACCGGAGGAATGGAAATGCTCTAAAAATAAGCCAGCAGCTGCCGTGGTCGCAGCCCCCCGCTCCCGTGGGGGGCTCCTGCGGGGGCTCCGCGGGGCTGCGCGGGGCTGCGCGGAGCGGCCGAACCCGGGGTTGCAGCGCCGGGAGGGCAGACCGGGATTTACGAGGCGGTCACCGCGGCTTCTCCGCGGGTGCGGAGGAGGGGAGAGGGGCTGCGGCCACTCCGCACCTCGGCGCGGACGGAACCCCCAAAAACTTCCCCGCCGCCGGCTGCTCCCAAACCGGCAATTTTTTTTTTTTTTTTAATTTATCTATATATTTTTTTTTAATTTATTTTTTGCACACTCACACACACCTCCTCCTCTTCCCTTCTTTTTTTTGATCCCGGCAGCGATCCTATATTCTCCCGGCTTGTCTCTTTTATTCTTTTGTACTCAGGCGTGTTGTCCTGGCCGGCAGTGTGAACGGGGGCTTTGTAAAACGGGACAGATAAAAATGAGCAACATCATATTGTTTGACAGAATGATCCAAAATGATAAAGTGCCTTCTCCGGAGGGGGTGAAAATGGTGAATTCCTAAAAAACAAGAGCGTCGCTTCTCTCCTCTGCCTCCCTGCGCTGCTCGCAGTAGCCTAAAGGGATCTGCCGCCTGCACCAGCCCGAATCACGGCCAGCCACTCTTTTCAATGGGGAGTCCTCCTTTTAAAAGCCTTCATATATTTATTTTTAAATAAATAAAGAAAGAAAAAAAAAAAGGGGGGGGGGGCGGTTTCGGCTTGGGACACCCCGTTCTCCTCGCGGCAAATGGAAAGCACAATTTTCGAGAGAAAGGCTCGTTTTGATTAAATCTGACATGCTGCTGATAACTCCATGCTAATGTGAAATAATTAACATAATAGCCATAATTAAAAGCACGCTAACAATGCCATAAATTTATCACACAATTTTACTAGCTTTCTGCCCCTAACTGCTCTCTCATCGTTAATTAAACGTGTTGCCTTTTACAGAATGGATGTTTGTACATTTCCAATACAAATAAATCCGAAACCGTTTTGGAAACGCGAGCAATTTCGTTTTACACGGAGGTCTGCCGCTTTTACAGACGATTTATTACAAATAAAAAAAAAATAAAAAGAAAGAAAGAAAAGAAAGAAAAATAAAGAAATCAAATACGTACGAATAGAGGCCTTTCAAAAAATTTATTATATATTTTTTAAGGCAGATATATTTTAAAATCTGCATCGAAAAGCCCGGCCTGGGCCGTGGGGGGGGGGCGGTTCAAGGCCCCGGGACAGACGGTGTCCCCGCAGCTCCGGCCCCGGCCGGGGGATGTGTGTGTGTGTGTGTGTGTGTGTCCCTTTGGATGTGTTTATTTTGCCGGGATTTCTCCCCCGCAGCCCCTCTCCTTCGAGCCCCTTTACCCCCGCACGTCTATAACGAACCACAATTGCTGGTTTAATCCAGGTCAGGTCAACGATTTATATAACTCATTAGTGAAAGTAATAGGCTTAAGGAGATGAAAGGGGACACCTTTGGTTTCTCCTTCCTTTAAAACGATTACAGAAGCAGAAATTGCCCCAGCCCTGCCTTTCCTCCTCAGTGTCCCCCCCTCCCTCCCACCCCCGAGGCTCAGCCTCCGGATTTATTTTTAACTCGCTTCGCGGCCAGGATCTTGCTTTGCCATATTAGAATCCAATTGAGTTGTAATTAATTTCTCCCTCTCTATCATAACTTGTCCCGTCCTCCCTTCCCCCGGTGCTCGCCGTGTCTCTATTTGACTCCGTATCGATCCGGACGATACAGTTTGGTTTTTCCCTTCCTCCTGTTGCTAAATCTATCTATCTATATGGGCGCCCACTTTCTATTTCTGGCCTGGTTTTAATTATTTTATGGCTTGGCAAGGCGCAACCCTCGCTCCTGCTCACCTTCCGCCCTTGAACTTCACCCGGTTCGGGGCCTCCCGGGATATTTCGGGGAAAGTTTCCTGATTTTTAGCAAAAAAAAAAACCCATCTCCCTCCCCACTCCGCCCGGGTGGGCTCCTAAAGACTTTCCTAAACTTGGCTACCTGAAGCCCTGGGAGAGGCAGCAGCCTCCCAGCCCCGCGGAGGGGCGCGGAGGGGCGCGGAGCCGGGGCCGCCCCGCCGGCAGCAGTGACTGAACAGGGGATTAGCACAATAGAGCCCTAATCGAGGGGAAACGTTTCTTTTCACGCTAAGCACCGTAATTAATGGTATGAATCAATTAATTTGACTTTTATTGTGCCGAAGAAAAGCGCAACAAATGAAACAGGGGGCTGCGGAGTTGGTCTTTTTTTTTTTCCTCCCTTTTCCCCGGGAGACTTTTTTTGGGATGCAGCGGGGAGGGGTATGTGGCGGGGGCGGGGGGGCAGCGTGAGTGTGAGTGTGCATTTAGGTATGTGAGTGTGAGTGTACGTGGGAGCGGGCGCTGCGCGGGTGCGGAGGCCAGGGTCACGGTCCGCGGAGATCCGCCGGGAAACGCGTAAAAATGG